CACTGCACTGAGCCATGGCCAACATCGCACCAATCGCCAACATAACGAAGCGTGGATACAATGGGACCAACCATGATGACATATATGTATAGGCAGCGGCATGTCTGCGCGACAGGGAGGGGAGGGGAGGGGAGGGTGGCCGGGGAGGGAGACTGGCCGGTCACATCATGGCTGCACGAACGTGTGTTCGGCTGGATGAATGTCATCAAATGCCTCAGATGACCCTTCTGACCCTCCTGTGAGTCACCAATGGGCCCTTGTTGCCTCGCAAGTGAAGGAGCTGCTCTTCCGTTTACATAGTGACTCAACCTCGCCAAGCAAACTCATCTTTCATCGCAAATCACCGTCGAATGGTCCATCTCAGAAGATGACAATCAAAATGTCTGTACTTCTTCGTTCATTCACTGTTTCAAAATGGCTGTGCATCGACCGACCTCGACGAAGGTGAGGATCCATCGTTGCACTTTCCCAGCCAAACCTGCAGAAGCAAACAGGCAGCGCAGCCATCTGCCCTTACGTAGTCATGGTCTCGAGAACCGGCAGTTGCAGCGGCCCCCGCTGATGACGACGCCATCGATGACAGAATGATCAGAAAGATGAGCCGGCGAAACACGAGAATACACTGGAATACGGCCTCACGTGGCGGCAGAGGGCGTGGCGGGGGGCGGTCGCACTTTGGCGGCGAAGGGGGGCTTCCGCTCACCACACTCGACGAGCAGCGCCGAATGGCCAGCGCCGAATGGCCCACACGAAGCGCTTGTTGTAGGGAGCCCTTCACGATGGCAGATGGCTTGACCGGTGTAGATAGTAGAGCGGGAGAGTGGGGGTGTAGATGGTGTTGCGACCTACTACCGACACAGATGGGCTTTGATTAGATGGCGGGGATGAATCGTTGTTGACCATACGGACACACATTACACATGACACATTGTCAAGACTTAACAAATGTAGCTGGCGATATGTGTCATGACAACAGGGTGTGTTCTCTTCCAGCGAGTTGATATCCAGATCACTCGGAATCTTCCTCTTCCTCTCCGTAGGATTGTTCTTGGTCCTCAACCTCCTCGTCTTCATTGTGCTGCTGTTCGTGCATCACCTCGCCACGTTCACCCCCGCTGTCGTCCTCTTCCTCAGAGCCGTCTTCCTCAGAACCTTGCTCAGACGCCTCATTCTCGTCTTCACCGTCAGCTTCGCCCCCCTCTGCTGCATTCTCACCATCATAGGTGGCTGCGGGCCCGCCCTCAATGCGACCAACCTGAAGCTCGTCGCCGTTGCCAAAATCGGGCGCCATCTCAGCAACGGCGGAGGCCGCCTTGTGCTTTTCAGAGTGCTGCGCCAGGGTGATGGCACCCACCGGCGAGGCAGTCGGTGCGGCGACGGGTTGGGCAGTGGGTCGCAATGCTCCAAGGGAGAGTGCAGACAAGTCGAATGGCGGTCTGACAGATGGGGGGGGAGATGGATAAGGTCTCGAGTGCTCGTCGTAGCCACCAAACGCCTTCAGCCGCTCAATCGTCTTGGCCTTGGCGGCGGTAAGGTCGGCGAGCCTTGACGAGAGGGAGTCAAAGTCCTTGACAGAACGTTGTGTGCTTTCTTGGTCCTGTGAAATCGGATAGATGCAGATACGTGAAAGATGCAGCTACGCGGGCAAAATGTGTGTGTACCGGTTGCTGCGCAAAGGTAGCTAAGTGATCAAGAGCCCTGCAGGGGTATGTGATTGCTTCGCATGCCATGTGCATCAATTGATGTGGGGGTGACTTACCTGTGGTATTCGATGCGCGTCGAGATGGATCGCAGAACGAAATCAAGCACGACTGGCAACAATTCATGGACCTGGGCGCGATAGGACAAGAGGCAGGAGATCTCATGCACGTGTGAACCTCCGTCAGTCGTGCTTCGCCATCTCCTGTCCACCTTTGCCTCTTCCACTTTGGCAATCTCCCTGGCCCGGTCTGCTGCTGCCGTCAACGCCGCTGTGCACACAGCCTGAACAACAGCCCTCAGACACACAACGGTTGCACGAGTTGACATACGCCAGATTGTGACAGAGAACTCACAGGCGTGTCGAGGTTGTCTGCGGGAAGGGCAAGGACTTCCACAGGAGAAGGTTCCACACCATTCATCCTCGCCTGGCCGCCATCCCCCTCTGCCTTCACCCAAGCTGCCTCCTCTCCTTTAACCGGCCCGTTGGCCCGTGAGTGGTCGCCCGCTGGCTCCTGCTTGACGCGAGCTTCATCCGCAGACTGGTCTATCTTTGCCGTACGCGACGCGTCATCCATGGCTATTTCCAAGGCGAGAGCGAGAGCTGCATCATCTTCCTGTTGCTCGCCACTGTTGCGGGTCCTGTCTTGTCCCGATGGCTCTGAAGGCTCCTGCTTGACCTTGACCAGCGGGGGACGGGGGGGTTCGGGTGCGGCCTGCTGTCGCTGCGTGTACTCGTGCACTTGCTCCAATACCTGATTGGTGCACAGAAAGAGTGCATTTATGATTGTCCGGGACAGTGGTGGTGTTTGGTTGACCTCGAGCTGAGCAGCCTTGGCTGCAAATGCGGCCACGATTGGATCCACATGTGTGGCCAACATGTCCAGCTGAGCGTCGAGAAACAATGATGATTCCACACGTCTCGGGTGCAGCATGATTTGATGTATGTACCTGTGCCTGCAGAGGGTTGGACATGTGCGAAAGCGGCAGTAGGGTCGTCTCGCCTTGCATCAGACTCTCATATGCCCCCTGCATGCGCCCACTGCAGCACACGCAACAGACTCTCATACAGAGAGTATGTGCCGCTTCTTTTTGTTCCTCTCACATTCGCGGCCTAAAGTGTGATGTCGTCTGTGCGGACATCTCTTCGGCAGGCAGGGAGATGAAGTGCAGGAGACACTCCTCAGCCGCCCTCCCGTGGCCCACTTGGCTGGCTATCCTGTCCCAGTCCAAGGAATCGACATAGCTCTGATGTTGGGTTGCATCGAGGGGGACAGGCGGATGGCCGAGGGACTCCAAACCCGACTCGATAGCGCCTGCACGGGAGGGGCAATCAGGTAGGGAAATGTGTTGTACTCTGGGAGTGCATGCCTGCTATCCTGTACCGATGAGCACAGCTGTCTCTTCTTTCGTCCACCGCCATTCCTCACAGGCCACGGGCAGACAGACCTGAACGGGAAAAGGAGGGTGGGCTGGGAGAGCCCCTTGGTGCTCGTGTTGTCTTGTTACTTTCAGGAAGCTGGAGGACGACAGGTGTGCAGGATAACGCCCATTGGCGAAGCACTCGAGGCACCAAATACACCGATCCAAAACGGAAGCAGACACAACTGAACCACACACATTCACACCCCGTTCATCCATCACTGAGTCGTGCCGCTCTTTTCTTCCCCATCGGTTCCTGCTGACCGTGTTCCGTCAGGTGCGGCCGCATGATGTAGTAGGCGTGACGGCAGACCTTGGCGCACGCCGTACATCTGTGTGGGCCCATTGGTGTCGGTGCATTCGGCCACCCACGAGTAGATCGCAGGAGAGACACTTCCAGGTCATTGTGGCTTTCAGGCGACACGGCGCTACGAGTGGCGCGGGCAGACGGAGGGGTGCTCCTGCGGGGGCGAGGGTACAGAAGGGAGGGAGAGGAATACAGGCCTGGGTTTTCATCGCCATCCGTCAAAGGCGTCGCCACTCTGATGTCCTCCAGCCGGATGTGTTTGGGTTTGCCTCTGACAGCTCCCCAGAGGGGCGGTGGGCCGCTGTGGGGCTCAACCTACCAACAGGGACACATTGGCACCATGATTGGTTGACTTGGTGAGTGAGTCACATTCGTCCGTTGGTTGGTCACCGCGTAATTAATGAGGCCCCAGTATTCGAGCCAGAGGTGCAGCTGCATTACCAGACGAGCGTCGTACTCCCGCCCTGTGTGCGCCGTTGACAAGACAGACAGACACACTGGCCTCGTCTGCCAATTGTGGTGTGGCTCATTGTCTGTCTCACCGAGTATGTGCCACGCATCCTCACACGACAAGTACCTTGATGGGTCGCCCCTGAGGGACAGGCAGGCACACAAACAAACAACAGGTAGGTCAGAGCTGGCACCTGCCTGTGCAGTGGTTACCGATACACATTGATGAGAGTGTCTCTGAGCTTTTTGTACGTGGCCTCCCGCGCCCGAACAGGCAGCAACCCACCTATCCACATCGACCCCAACACAGTCGTGGTACACAATGCACGTAGTGTATTCGTGTATCACCCACCTCTCGAGCCAGCAAAAATGGTTGCCAATTGCTCCCTCTCCATCGGGCCCGTCCCACTGGGATCGAACCAGTGCGGGAGACCCTTGCGACCCATCTCCTCCCTGGCCTGGCTCATATCAGTGCTGTCATCACGCCGCCTGTCCACGTGAGTGGGGTCCGAGATGACAGACTGGAGGTATGTCGAGGTGTTGCGGCCCAAGAGGTCCGTTGCATTGATGAGTGTGAAGTTGCTGGTCGTGTGCAGGATTGAATGTGCACGACCATGGCTGCTGGCGAGCGGAAGCCTGAGATGCAGTCGTAACAGTATGAATCTCTGACTCAACCACTGTTCCTGCCTTGGTAACCCACCTGACGGCATCTGCGGCGATTGGTATCACCCTATTGTCGCTTTCCCTCTCATGCTCGGTCGACGGGGCGTCGTCCCTGTGCCTCTTGCCTGGGGGCTGGCGCACATTAACGAGCCTCTCCACTGCACTCCAGTTCTCGGGCGCCTGCTCGCTCACTGGCACGGCCTTGACCTCCATCATCTGTTTCTCCCGCCTCTTGGCCTGCTCCTGTTCGGCCTTCTGCTGCGCCGCCTCTGCCTCCTCCCGACGCAGCTGCTCCAGAAAGGGCACAACATAGCTGTCCCGCGCCTCAACGTCGTCATCGGACACCTCATCGTCGTTGCCCTTGAGTGCCGAGCGGGACAGAACCTTGCTGAGCGGCTTCTCAGCGATCCTCACGTGCGTCAGCTTGGCCACGCTGGGGCGACACATCAACTCGAAGCGCAACGGATGCTGCTGCGCCAACGCCCGCCGCTTGGACGGCACATCGCCACCCGTTGCCCGCGGGCTTGGGGCGTCCTTGGATCGCACACTCACGCGCTCAAGAACGTCGGTGTCCACCACTCCTCTGCTAGCCGCTGGCTTCTTGATCCGTCTGCTCGCCCGCACAGACTGGGCAGGGGGTGATGTAGGTCGCGCCTGGGACGTTTCGCCTTGATCCCTGTCCTTCTCCTTCTTGCGTTTCTTGTCTCGGTGTCGCTCGCTGTCGTGGTCTTCTCGCCTCCTCTTTTTGTCCTTGTCCTTCTTTTTCTTGTCCTTCTTGCTCTCCCTACCATCAATCTGGTCCACCATGGCGGAATCCGCAACCCCCTCCGGCGCTTGAGCTGTCTGTCGCCTTTGCTGCTGCTCCTGTTGCTCCCCCTCGGGGAGTACGGGGATGGGTGGCTGAGTGAGGAGGGTCTGCAGAGGCAGCTGTTGCAGCTGAAGCAGCAGCCTGGGGTCGATGACGTCGTCGTGCACCTCGTAGTCAAGCTCATTCATCCACTCGCCGAACTTGGCCAGGTGGTCCATCCAGAGGTGTCCCACCTTCCAGCGGCCGTCATCGGGGGGCGTCGGGGGGCTCTCCTCAATTGGCGCGTCAGCATCAGGGTGGGTCCACTGGTCGTACGAGTCAGGGTGGTACCACCAGTGCACGAATGCGTAGCCTTCCGGACCACCCGACTCGATGACGCGGTAGTAGATGCCGGTGCTCTCCTCTACTGACGCATCGTCACGAACCACTATGTGGGTGGCGTCCATGGGCGAGGCCACCGGGTTGCCGCCGTACTGCTGGAGAATCTCCGCATAGCGCGTCTGTGTGGCGCGGTCGATCGACTGGCTGTCGAAGTAGACGTGCGGCACCACCCATATCCGTGACTCCTGAAGAGCGAACCGCAGCTCATTCGTCAGCTGGTACGGGTAGCTGCCCGACAGGGCTGTCGCCGATGACAGATCGATGTGCGCGACGAGCGGATACTTGGCCTGCTGGGATCGCCTGAAGCTGAAGAGGGCCTGGCAGATGGTGAACAGCCCACCGCTCTGAGATGGCCGGCAATCGCGGAAGAAGCGAGTCGGGATGTGCAAGCAAGAAGGCCTCGGACCAGAACCCTGAACGCGGCCGGACACACAGAGAGCTGACAGTGAGCAAGTCCTCTTCCTTCAGATGCGTCAGTTTTTTTCAGATGCGTCACTTTTGTCCCTGAGGCATGCACGCATATTCATGGTTGACCTGTGGCGTGACGGCGATGTCCTGAAAGGTGAGAAACTGCCAAACGAAAAGGGCGATGCCCTGTGGTGAGCAGAGGGGGTCGTTGTGCACCCATGTGATGGTTTGCTTGAGGAAGGTACACAGCTCCGTGTACCGCGACAGTAGGTGCCGATTGAGGGATGAGGGGAGGCCCGGCTGCTCGCTGTAGCGGGTTGGACGAGCTGACATCAGAGGAAGCTCACACCAAGCTCACACTCACTTCCAGATCCATAACAGCTCGCAGCCGGTCGGCAGATCTGCTGCGTCGGCAGATCTCCGATTGGGCGAGGGAGCTTTCACCAGCAGCGAGAGCCACCGTGATTGTTGTTGTGTCAATTTTTCTTCAGGGATCAAGCAAATCGGAAGAACATTGCTTCCGAAGAGCGGTTTTAATCCCTCTTGGAAGCTCCGCAGGTCCGACGCATACACCCACCCACCCATGTGATTGGTCCTTTGATTTGCATGGCCATCGGACAATGTTTGATACATATTGACCCCTTCAGTGAATCGGGCGTCTGGTGTTTGTTTGGTGTCGATATGTGGCAGCCCATCTGTGTCGGTAGTCTTCTTTCGTGGGTCGCAACACCACTACACTCTCCCTCTATCTACTATCTACCGTGGCTGGCCTTTCTCTACTCGGATGGCGTCAAGCCATCTGCCATCGTGAAGGGCTCTCTACAGCAACCTCTGTGTGTGGCTCGTCGAGTGTGGTGAGCGGACGCCCCCGTGAAGGGCGTCCCATCATGTTGATAGATTGGTTGGATAGGTTGTGCAGACATTACATTCAATCACTCATTGCGTTTTGACCTTATATCCGCTCATGAGTGGTTGAAAATGCAAAATACTGATGACGACAGTGCCATGCTGGAGGCATCAGGCACCTCCGCCCGTCGGTAGTTAATTGTACATGATCCAGCCCCTCGATCCAGCCCCGTCACATGTCTTGCCTCTCATATGTGTAGCCTGTCGCAGGTCGCACAAGGGTTTCGTTGTTCTTCTCCCTTCGCCGAAGTGTCGACGAATGCACAACGGGAGAACAAGGGATGGTCCCGCACATTCGCCGCCGTACCTTAACCCGCAACACAGACGACATCCACTTGGCGGTTGTGCATCGTTTCTGTGCTTACCATCTTTGGTGGTCCTCTTGATGAACCCGACCTTCGCCTCATCAGTGAGACATTGCCGTGTCATTGCGCGGAGCACACTCCTCGCTGTTTCGCTTTTTGGTGCATTCCACAGTATCTTCTTGCTGTAGTAGTCCATCAGGCGCAGCTTTTTTGTGACGGCTCGGTGGTCCTTGTAGAGCTCATCCAGTATGGGCTTCAGCGCTGCGCGAGGGTCCTGCTCGAAAACAGAGCCCTCGATTGCATATGTGAAATTCCTGCGTAGGGCGGAACAGCGCCGACCCCCACAATACGGGTCGTGTGCTAACGTCACTGTCCTTTCTGCATACCTCCATGGGATTTCGCACTGGAAGGGGATGCCGTATTTGAAAGCGTCGTCAACTTCGTTGATCAGGACATTCAGCGTCCGGGCCCAGAATCCATCCATCACTCTCGAGCTCGTCACATCGGTCCCACGAAAGCACAGATTCAGCTTAGAGTTGGCGAGACGGTGCATAAAAGTCGATGTCTCAAGGAGCCAATCTTTGTGTTTTTTTCTCGCAATTTTGCATCGCTCAAACCTGCCGATCGGCATGTCACGTGACCGAGTGGTGTTCTCTTGACGTGGGCAGTCGGGAAGACTGAGTTTCGTCTTGTGCTTGTTGCCTGCCATAACAAACACACTCTTTGCTGGATTTGGGCCGTGCCAGCCTGCTAAATGTTCAAAAGCTAGATTTCGATAAGGTCGCCCAAAGTCTGTCCGACCTGAATAAGTGACAGACAAGAAGACGATGCAGCAACATAAACATTTTACAAATGCATGCGTCTGTCCGGTTTCCACCTTGAAAGAACATCGTGTAGTCGCGTTGGAACCAGTCGTGTCTCGAGGGAGGGTCGAAAGCCGAGCCTAGTCTGTCATCCTCAAATACGTCCGTAGGCTTGATGAGCCCGCGTTTCAGCAGGCTTTCCTTCTCAAAAGGCTGGTAGGCTTTTTGCAGCGCTGTCAGAGATGACCTGGATGTATACAATGTGAGGTTATGCGTGCATGCATCAGGGACGATTCGCATACGTGTGGGGAATCGTGACAGCACATCCAAAGAGGTCTCTATCTGACAGAATACGAGATGTGCGTTGCAGCTGATGGCTGGTCATTTTTCTTTGTCTCCGTACGATTGTCTGCAAGGTGCCGCCCCTGTGTGATATTCCTCGCAAATGTCGAAAACGCTCTCCCAAATACCATTTCCATGCGACCAGGATACTTAAACTCAAAATCGGTCAGCTGCATTATGAGAAAGTCAATCCAGTAACACAAGCATTGTTTTGCCATGAGCCATGGATGAGTACACACTCACCACAAGGATGTGGTCGAGCCCGCGGTTTCTCTCCCATTGTGGGGTCTCCATCACCTGAACAAATGCTACGGCCATTCATATATGTTCATAGAATGTCTCACCTCCTTAACAGCCTTGTCTGCCAGTGCATGTATCTTCTTCCTATTCCCTTCCTTGCACGAACGATGATACAGCAGAACTGGACCAAATACACGAAAGTCAAGCACTCAAGTGAAATGACTCACTTTCCCCCGTACTGTTCGTCGACACACCGGGATAGATTGGGAGGACATAGACGAGCGCTTTGTCAGGGTCAAACGTCCTCCATGTATCCTTCCATAATTGGTCCAGCCAGTATATCTCGTCAACGTTTTTTCTGTTGTCCAAGTCGAATCGGCCGGGCCAATGGCCGGTCAACATGTGTCTTGCGGCCTTTTGACACATGTCGTAAAGCTGCCTCATAGCCGGCGTTTGGTAGACGTAAAACGGCACCTCAATGTCCCGCTCCACTGCCTCGAGATTAGCGAACTTGGCGTCTGCGCCCTGAAGAACATCTTTTCCCTCGCTTTTGATAGTGTCAGCCATATCGATGGCGACAGCATTTCCCCGCAAGACGGACTGGTGGAAGAATAAGGGAAGGGACCGGACCCTCTCACAAAGACACAAATTACCATATTGAAACAGCAACAACCTAACGAGCAATTCCAACATTGTTGGGCAAGAATACATGTATCTAAAGAATTCTTGCCATCAATTCGTCTCTGCCAGAAAGATCAATTTGCGCAAGATCAACATATCAATTTGTGATGGACCGAGAATCTCGGTCCACAAGCCACCACGGATCTCCCTTTCGCCCTTAGCGTGAATTTTCGGGGATTGGACTTTGAGGCGCCGGAAACGGGAATAGAGCAACCACGCCAAAACGTAGTGCGAGAATGTGTGTGCGTGTGGGCGGCGCCACTGGATTATACGCCAGGCGGGCGCTCAGGATGGTGCTGGCATGTTTGTCGCGTGATTGAAGGTTGGTCGATTGACGCAGTTTATTTCATGAGAGACCGACAGACTATGCCTGCTGGTGCGCCATGAGTTAACGTATGTCAAACGCTATTGAGATAGCTCTTACTCGATGCTCTACTGACGACACTTCTCGATGGGAGACACTCACGATTCAACGACAGGCACACGTCCATCTCCATTCTCCTCGATACGAGCCGAATATCCACGTGCACCATGACACTACAAGTAGGCTCGCCGCATCTCGGCGCCATCCTACTCTGCACCACCGCTCCCACCCGTCCCCTGGCCCTCTCCATCTTCCCCCCTTCCCCCCCTTCCTCACCACCAGGAAAAGCAGACGCCCCCAACGGCAAGGCGAGTCAGTGAGGTTCACCACCAGGACGAAACAACTGCAAAACTGGTATTCCAGCTCCAAAACCGTTTTCCGTCCCCAAAACTTGGGCCCCCAACGGAAAACCGGACCCGCTGCACAGAAAACCGGACCCGCTGTATGAGTTGCCCTCCTCCGTCGGGGGGTCGGGACTCGCTCCGCGTTCCGGCGGCCGCGTCGCGAAATGCATGCAAAGCCCCCAAGCTCGTATGGAAGCCCCCATCAAGAAAGACGGTACCGAATGAAAAAGTCTCGATGGCCCTCTCTGTTGCCTCTTGGTGGTCTCGCGGCGGGGGTCAGCTCTGCCGGCTCCTCTGCGGGCGTAATACTATCGTGTCGACCGAAACTGACATAGCGAAAGGGAAGAAGCACAGCTGATTTGTGTTTTGTCGTGCTATTCACCGTCGCAAATGGATGTACCACTTTCACATGCAGCGCTTATTTTTCACACAACGTTCACATCACAGGTCCACATTCGTAATAGCCCACAGGTCTTCAGGCATCAACTTTGTGAAAAAACCACTTGCTGCTCTGTGCCCACAAAATGCGCGTGGACCCTCACTCCCTCTCATTTGGCTGCTGTCTTGAGTGCCGTGCAAATCTCTTCGTAGTGGGGGATGGTCGCAATGTCCCCGTAACACACCACGGTAGGGCGCTTCTGCAGCATCTCGGTCGCAACTCTGTGCGTAAAAGATCAAATGCACGTCACGGGTGGATGTTGATTGGAGTTGACGTGACAGTGTGTCCGTGGATGTACCTGGCGATGTCCTTTTCGGTGACGGCATCGATGGCCGCACAGAAGGCATGGCCGTCCACCACCTTGCCGCTCATCAGCAGCTGGCGAGCCACATCCTCCATCACGATGGCACGATTCTCTGAATAAACGCATCATGTGCAGAGTGCGGCAGAAACGTTTAGTGCGAGGCTTGTGTCCCGCCCACCGAGGTTCATCCAGATGGATGCTTTGAGGCAGTTCTTGGCCCGCTTGAGCTCCTCAGCAGTGACGGTCTTCATCTTGACCAGCTGGTCGCACATGACAGCTATCGCCTCGGTGCCCTGCCCGCACAGATGGATACGTCTGTGTGCAGAGACAAGGGCATTTATGTGTTTGTCACCTGCAGGGGTGCGTGAACGAAGTAAAGTCCAAAGAGCCCCGAGTCAGAGTACATGGTGTTGAACGCCACGCACGACTCAAGCCAATTGTGCCTGTTCAGGACTGAACCCCGCAGACATGCATGAAATCCAAATGTGTATATACGAATGTATCAGTGTTGGCACCCACCGTCGGTGTAGAGTCGTGTGTGGATCCCTTTGCCGGGTCCGCCGGTGGAGAATGAGCCGCCCCCGCCCAGCAGCGTCTGCAGCACCGTCGCAGCCTCCAAATCCCTGGAGTTCCAACCACCCTGGCAGATACACACATAGGTACATAGGTGCACACACGTTTCGGCCACACGCATGTATGGGTGTGGATCCATGCATAGTTTCTGGATACATCCAATCGATCTGACCACTTCAAATCCGATGGCCGTGTGGCAGACAGGTAGGTTGGCCTCAATGCGCTGGTCGCCGCCTGGTGTACACCACAGGACATCCGACGCACGTCGTTACATTCGCAATGCCTGCTTACCAGTGTAGATTGGCTTGATCTCTGGGCGGTCCTGGTGTGGGATGGCTGCTCACAAATGTGCACACAGGGTTATGAGTGTTGACTGTTCGGGCGGGTATCTGTGCTTGTGTACGATTGTAGTCGACGAAGGATCTCATGAGCCACTTGCAGAGCTCCTCGTGCTTGACATTCACACCCATGAACACCATACGATCTGCATAAGGCCGCAATTGTATCTTGCTCACGCCGTTTCCGTTTCCCCCCTTGTCTGCGTCTGTTGATGTTCGTTGTTTACTGGGTGAGAAGTGCTGCATCATGAAGTCTCGGACGGTGTGCTCGTTGAAGTAACTCAAAGACCGCTCTGTGGCATACAACTTGTTGCCTGCACGCATCAACAGGGGCACGGATGGCCAGACAGACCCTGGAAGTCTCCCTGTCCACCACACGCGTACCCAGTGTGTTGTTATGGTACGCAGTTATGTGGAGCATCTCGGTGAGGAAAGCATCCGGCTTCTTCTCCTGCAGCAACAACACATACCACAGTTCCGCCTCGTTGCTGCTCGCTCGCTTTAGGTCTGTCCGTCGCTGTTTACCAATTGGCGCCTTTGCTTGTCGACGAATCTGTGTCTGTCCTTGACCTCCCAGTTGAGTAGCCGTGGAAAGAGCACGTTGCCGATCAACATGGGCACCAGCAGCGGCATGTAATGACGCAGACACTCTGCCTGGTATACCACATGCTCTCTAGCATTTCAGAGACGCAGGGGATACAGAAAGATGGATGTTTGCAGGCGTGACAACACTGCTGAGCCATGGCAGACCTTCCGGCTTGGCACGTGGCGTTCGCGCCGAGTGCCTCTATGGTTTTGATGGTGCGAAGGTAGGACAGGTGTGCAGTGGAGTGGTAGGCCATCAGCTCTATCATGTGCGACACCCCATAGTTGGTCACGTCCTCGTAACGGGAACCAGCATGCACAAATAGACCTGACACACATAAGCAGCCGAAAGGACGGGGATAATGTGTCAGCCCCCCACCCCTCCCCGCATGTGCGCACTACTACATCCACCGACCGAGTGAGCATGTGAGTCCGTCCCTGTCGATGGAGACGATCTTGAGGCCATTCTCTAGAGTTGAGTACTCCAGCTCGGGCTTCTTCAACTCACTCAAATCGGGCGCATGATACTCGCCCTGAACATTCAACATACACACATATCACTGACAGCCGTCTGCCATGAACAGTGACGAGCAGACCTGCCTTCCTGCCTGCCCTCCCTTCCATCCCCCTCCCCTGCGTACGTACGTTCTTGAGTATGCTTTTGTCCAGCGGTGTGTTTGCGTAGATGTTCTGGACGGGATCTTCGTCTCCGATGAAGTAGTACTTGAAGTCGGGCACCTCCTCCATCACCAGCTCCATGTCCTCCTTGACAAACGGCACTGTCTTGAACGTCGGCTTGCTCGCCTTGGCCACCGCAGATACAGCAGACGCAGACGCTGCCGCGGCGGACGCCTGCTGGCGCACGCTCAGCCGGTGCCCGGCGGGGGACAGCAGCGACGGCACAGGCAGACGCCTCAGGCAGCGCAGCGTGCCGCTCCTCATCTTCCTTGACTCAGGTCTCTTAGGGTCTTGCATGAAACGGCCTCTGCAAGCGATCGGCGGCCTGGCTGTTCCCTACGGCTACAGCCCACCCAACAACCCCTCCAGCTGCCCAGGGTGCGGTTCCGCCTTCACCCTCACCCATGCCCCGGACTGCGCGAAGGGCGGGCTGGTGATACAGCGACACAACGAGCTGCGGGACGTGATTGGCGACGTCGGCAGGACGGACCTGGGTGATCCGTGGATGGGGTGTGGGGAGGGAAGCGCTTCTTCACCCGATTGACTGTGCAGCTGTTGACGAGGCAGGGGTTGTCAGATAGGGGGCGAGGGCGGGCGCATGGGTGGCTGCGCGCTCGTTTGTCTGTTGCATTGGTGCGGCCCGGGGCTGCTAGCCTGTGTTTGAGGGGCGGGAGGCAGTCATGGCGTGGTGTTGGGGCGATGGACGGGGCTGGGGTGTTCTCATCGGATGAGTGAGAGTGACCTTTGTGCATAGGCATATGTGGATAGATTCATCAGGACGATGTGTGGACAAGCGAGTGCCTGGATGCGATCTGTCAATTATCTTCCTGCCCATTACCATCCCCTCCTCCCTTCCAGCCGGCAGAGTGCGTATCTTGAAGCAAGCCCTGCACACGAAGGCAGCCGAGTTCTGGCGCTAACCTACAATGCAGGAGCCGTCCAGGGGATGATGACCGCCCTCCTCTTCCCTGCCCTCGTACGCATGGCAACACACTCACCAGCCTGCATCCCAGCCAACAGGGCCTCCCTCTGGGCTGCTTCTGCCGCGAGGAGTGAACGCCAATGGCCCACTCCCTATACTCAATAGCCATACTGAGTAGCCCTATCCACGTCATCACGCTGGGCTGACAAGACTGGGAACTGCTTGATGAAAGAGTGGTCACCGTAATTGACGACAGACCGACCGTAGACGCGATGACAATGTCTCGCAGTGGCACAAGTGCTGGGAGACGAAAGGTAGCTGGGAGTCTGAGTGAGGGGGACAGGGGGAGGGCTTGAGAGAGAGAGAGAGAGAGAGAGAGCCGAGCCACACACGGCAAACCGAGGGATCGTTGTTATGCATCTATGCGTCGGCACTCATATGTAGTTGCCAACTTCTTTGCGTGTCGCGGCTCGAGTGGATTGTTTACTGCCTGTCTGTCTGTCTGTCTGCCTGTGTGCCTGGCCGGCCAGACAGACCGGAGCTGCCTGGCCTGGCTGCCTTTCATCACTTTCTTTGATTTGCTTTGCTCTTCTAGTCTCCTCGCCTCTCTGCACACCTACTACCTCCCTGTCTGCCTGCCTAGCTACTGACTTATTTACCTTACCTACATGCCTGGGTAGGCGCCTGCATGCACACCATACCGTCATTTATCTGAGCGCTGGGACGGGACGTTTCTGCTTGCTTGCGTCCATTCCATTCCATGGGTGTGTGCCTACCATGCATCAATCGTGCCATGACTGCTTAACGACCGGTGGGGGGATGGGAGAGAGAGAGAGAGAGCATGTGGGTGGATTCATGGCAGTGACACTCACGTATCGGTGGCTCGGTCGGTCGGTCGGTCGGTCGGGCCCCCCGTCGACCCGTCGGTTTGTTCTCGCTCGCTACATACACACATGCCCAAATCCGTCCATCCATCTCGTTTTGCGTTGCCTGGCATGAATGTAAGCTTATTACTCTGTCATCATCTATATCAAAAGTCAGTCGATCAGTAAGGACTTTCTCATCTCACAGCGGATGGATTGGATGACTGTGGGCCACATGACGACCGGCCGGCCAGCCAGGCTCTCATCGATGCCTAACAGATAACGCACAGACAGACTGACAGACAGACTGACGGATCCCCCTCCTCTCTGCCCCCCTCTCCTTCCTCTCTCCCTTTGTCTTTCCTATCGTGAGAGTGTTTCAGTGTCGCCCTTTCTCTAACCAGCCAACCGATGGATGACGGATGAATGTGGCTGCATTTTTCGCTGAAGCGGTCAGTCTGACTCAGTCAGGCGCAAGACGGAGAGAGGCGGGAAGGGGGAGCGCGGGGGAGGGAGGGACAATCGGCGGGTCGCTCGCTATATGGCATGTCCGTGTGTCCGTCCGTATCTCTCTCTGCTGGATCATCGTTTGTTATGCCTGTGCGTGTGGTGCTGTGCCTTGTGTGTTGCCTTATGTGTCTATGTAGTCAAACAAGGCGGCGGGTGGTGACTCTGGTGGTGTGGTGTGGTGAAGGTGGTGGCGTGCATGTCTGTCTTGTCTGCGGTGGACCCATACCCCGATTGATTGGTTGTATAAATACCCCTTGATTGAGTAATACACGTCATTCAATAATAGGCTCTCGTGCGAAGAAACTGGCCGCATTGGATCATGGCCGCATTAAGATCATGGCCGAGAACATAACATCCCTTCTGCCCCCACCCCAACCACTGGCAGTCGCTTGTGCCGTCCCGCCCTGTCGGCCAGCTGGCCACAACGGTTCCTCCCTCGCCTGAGCTGAAGATGCTGCCACTCCTGGCATTCGTTTTCCCTCCCCTCTTCTCACTGGCAGCCATCCGCAACGCCATGGAGAGGGAGCCAGGCCGCATTCGCATTCGCATTCGCCCGCTCTCTCATTCCAGCGCCACTACACCGCCACCCGGCTCAACTATGGGATCAACGACACGAGCCCTGAGCGGTCAGCGGAGCTCCACGCTTTCTGGCAAACCTACTACCAGCCGTCCATCCACTGCAGCAACGAGAGGCGGCTTGGCGGGGATTTCTTCAACAGTATGGATGGAGGCAAATGGGTGTGTGAGCCGTCTACTTTGGCAGATCAGGGGGAGAGGTGCCTCGTGTACTCGTTCGGGAGCAACAACGACTGGACCTTTGAGAGGGACGTCCTGAACACTGCCCCGGGGTGCGAGATACATGTCCGTAAGAGAGAATCTGCAAAGATGATATGGCGTGTCCACGCCACGGCCATCAGTCAGTCTCTTTTGTCCTGTGGTGTGCAGACGTTCGACCCCTTTATCTCGGCCCCATCCGCCCCGGCAGGTGTCCATTTCCACCGATATGGCCTCGGCCACTTCTCCCTCCCCGCCCCATCCAACGACCCAAACCTCACCCTCACCCCCACGTCGCCGCAACTGGTCGGACTGCCAGCCATCGTTCGCGCCCTCGGCCACGAGGAGCGGCTCAAAGTGGACATAGAGGGTGGCGAGTTCGAGGGATTGGGAGGGGGCAGGTGGCCGGCGGTGAGAGAGGTGGAGGTAGAAGTGCATTTGATGGGCCCTGGGGGGAGAGAGACGCTGACCTGCTGGTAGGGGGGATCGAGAGGCGGGGGTATCGGTTGTTCCACAAGGAGGAGAATGCGTTCGGGACCTGCTGCTGCGAACTGGCCTTTCGCATGGATGGCACCTCGCACAGGGGGTGAAAGAGTGTGTGGGTGTGGGTGTGGGTGTGCGTGCGCATGTCTGTGTGCGTGCATTTTCGCACCGACAGCCGACATTGTAGTCGTTAGGTAACAAGAAGAGGTAAGGGATATGGATTGAACCGACCAATCAGTCTGCTGCGTGTCCGTGTCCGCGTCCATCCCTTCCATGTGTGTCGCCACGACAGAACAGACAGGGACCCTGTCTTGCCTGTCTGTCTGCCTGCTTGGGCGGGCGGGCGCTATGTACTCTTGAGTCTTGACTTAACGAATGAATCACACCAACAGCCAGGACGCGTCTAGGTAGGTTTGTACACAACAGAGTACGCCGCCCTCACGTCTACTCACGGACAGCACGTAGGCTCTCGCACACACACGCACACACACACACACAGAGAGAGGGGGGGGAGAGAGAGAGGGAGAGAGGGCCGGCAATGTCCCTCTCATCGTGCGCCAGCCATTAACTGAGTTGACATTCCAATCAAATGTCAGATAGCATCACTGCCACTCGTTATCATTCCCAGCAGATAGACGTGTCTCTCTGGAGTCACATCAGCCCGCCGCGGCATTGTGAGTGAGCTGGGTCGACCAGTCGCGTGTGAGAGGTGATGTCCCCTTGCTGTTGGGAGCATCACTACTCACACACCACTGGGTGACGGGGGTCACTCACACGGGCGGCAAACAAACAGGTCGATCACCGTAAATTGCAGCCCCCCTCCCTCTCCTCGTCTTTCTTCTCGGCAAGAATGGTTGGTTAGATAGGCACAAACAAAAATATGTAACACACACTTACTTACTTGCCCCCACGTACGTTAACGTACGTCCCCCATGTTGGGTTTTGATAGCAGGGTTTGTGCTTGCTTAGCTTGCAGACCTGTCTCTCTATTTCGTGCTTTTCCGGTGACCGTTGGCAGCTCTCGTGCGTGTCTTGCTTGGCGGGCTGGCCAT